TGAAGGTTTGCAAAAAATGTAATAAAATTTCTAGGGTCGTATTTAAAAAAAAATTGTTGATGATGGTCCTGGAGAGACGAAACGTTACATATAAAAATTGATTATGCCATTCGATAGAGAGCAAAAAGTGGCCATGAGAAAGTGTTCTTCTTTTTTCAATATCACCTCAAACAAAGCTGAAATGAAACAAAAACGGATTTCCAAAATTTTGGATTTTTTCAAATATTTCAAAAACTAATCTTGTTAGCCTTGATTTTTTAGAGGTATAATGTTGGTCCCCTGATTACGCAACTTTGCCCCCATTTAAGCTACTTCGTACCTCTTACCGTTTCCGAGATCTCTGTAGTGAGAAGCAAAAAACAGCCTGTAGATGTCATCACAAGCAAAAAAAAACGTTATTATACAGGGTTGGAAATTCCACATGGTCCATCTGCCTTTACATGACAGCGACAAAGTAAAGAAATCTGTGCGATAGACAAGGACATTGAAGACGTTTCATAATCTGAATGAATAGTCACTTCCACTTCTAACCCAAAACAGGCGGTGACTTCAGATTATGAAACGTCTTCAATATAGCCATCTTTGTTTATCGCACGCATTTCTTTACTTTGTTGCTCTCATGTAAAGGCAGATGGACCATGTGGATTCTCCAGCCGTGTATACTGAATACAGGATTTTTACAATGGTTAGAGCATGTGAGTCGTCAATCAGCTGTACGCTGTAATTTGAGTTGTGCTATTATTGTGTTTCTGTTATTATTTGATTTTGTTGATTTGTTTGCAGTGGTAAATGAGTGATAAGTTGTATGCAGGCCGTAAAGGCAGTAAAAATCAAAGTACAGCCCGTAAGTGAAGTAAAACTGGAAATAGGCGTCCGCCTAACCGTCATTCATTTGAATGCGACCCGGAGTTCATCAGCGCGTTGGCAAAGAAACCCAAACTTGATGATGATAAGTGTGAAAGAGAAGTAAATGAGTCTTTTGGGTATCGTTTCATTGATTTCATGATCATGAAAAGAGCAGGAAGAGCAAAATACGGCCATGGAAAGGCAATTACATATATGGTGCCGGGATAGCAGAGTGAAGGTAAAAAAATTTTTATGCGCCATATTATTGTGATTTCCAAAAGACACAGTGTTCTCAAACTTCAAATGTGTTTTTCCCGAAACCATGCTTTTCAAATCGGCGAGCAGCAGAATTCGAAGTTTTCATCCGATCGACTTGAAAATTGAACTGGAACTTCATCGTGTGATTATTTAGTGAAGTACACACGATTTTTATAATTGATCAACAGGATTTTTTTTTATAAACAAAGTCGATTTCTTTGTCGAACATTCGAATTTTTTGTTCAATGTATCGCCAATTTACGAAAAAAAATCCTAAAATTATGATTGTGTGTACTTCACTAAAATTTTTTATGCTTCCAGATGGTGATCCAGGGGACTTCTACTGCTCGCCATTTTGCAAGAAATTTTTAATAAAAAATTTTTTTCTTAATCCTGAAGAGTTGCTTAATCGATTGGTGTATCGGTTGTTCATGATTATTATAAAAGAATGCTCAAAAAAAATTCTTAAAAAGCCTTTTTTATTTCAGGCTCCAAAGTGATATAATCCCTTAACAAGTTGTTTAATTTTTAGAAAAACTACATAAAATAAAGTGATAATACTCTAAGGGCTATTTATTTCTTAGGGCTTCAAAATTTTAATAATTTTTTTTTTTCAGTTGCAGTTTATTACCAAATTTGAAAAAAAATCGCTTAAATGAGAAAAAATTAATGCAAAATATTAATTAAAAAAACAAACAAATTTAAGATAGATAATAAAGCCCTTACGAAAATGTCACAGGGACTTGTACAATTATTTTGATGAGTAGAATCAACCCATAAATTATTTGCACTTATTTCTGGAACACCATGTATTTAAATTAAGATTTTTTTTAATCTTGTAATAATTTTCAAATGTTTTTACTCATCAAAATTCACAAATCGCGGTTTGAAAAAAATTAACATATTGTTTTGGACTATTAAGCAATGTTATTAATACGCAGGGTGTTCATGAAATATGGTGTCAAACTGAAAAACGGTAGGAAATTTAATTTCTAAAAAAATATTTTATAAAAATATATAAAAGGGTAAAAAGGATGCACTCCCAAAAACACATTTGACTCCAAAGTTTTTAGATTAATCTACTAAATTAAAAAAAAGTCATCAAGCCTTGCATTGCAATACTGTCAAACTTAGCCAGCCTCATCTATCTATGTAACTTTTATTTTTCTCTTTCGTGTCCAAATTAGTTGGAGAATAAAAAAAAAATTCTGGAAACAAAAAAATTAAGTAAGTTAAATTCTCCCAAGCAGTCACGGAGATGCAAAGGACAATGAGGTTCTGTTATGAGACACATCAAATATTAAATTCTTTAAATGGAACACCCTGTATATTTTTAAACATATGGATATCTGAGAAAATTCTATATATAAATAAATAAATATAAACAGTTTAACATTTTAGTGCGGGGTTGCCAAGTTATGTAGAAAATTCTTGGGATTTTGGAAAAAACATGACCTCGAAGCAGTTGTATTAACTTTCAACTAACTAACACTTGGAGCAAAAATATTTGACAGAGTTATAGACAAATGTTAGGCAAAGGCTCCTATATTAGCTAATATCGATATTTTATACAGGCCATTTTTTATTATAATATCATTTTTAGAAAGTTCAAACTTGATTTTCTAAAATTTTTCAAATAGAACACCCGTATTTTATTGTTCTATTTTATTCACATATCAGTCCACTTCAACTTTTATGAAGTATGTTCTACACCTAAAGTTGTTAGTTTTTAAGTTATAGCAAAATTTCTGGAAAAATTAAATTTTTATTATTTTCGGTCGCACGAAATGGCTTTGGAAAAAACTGTCAACTGGGTCAACTTGTCAGTTCATAATTTATTATTCCATTTTGAGTTAATTTTATTAGTTAATATTTATTTGTGGTGTTCTATAAAATAATAAAAATTAAGGTTTTTTTCAGAAATGTCGCTATATCTTAAAAACTAAGAATTTTAGATATGGAGCATGCTTAATAAAAGTTGAAGTGGACCGATATGTGAGTAAAATAGAACAATAAAATACAGGGTGTTCCATTTGAAAAATTTGAGAATATCAAGTTTAAACTCTCTAAATATGATCGTATTATAAAAATACCCTGTATAAAATATCGATATTAGATAGGAGACTTTGTCTAACATTTGCCTATAACCCTGTCTAATTATTTTGTTCCAAGTGTTAGTAGCTAAAAATAAATACTTCTCCGTCACGTTTTTTCCAAAATTCAAAGAATTTTCTACATAACTTGGCAACCCCACACTAAAATGATAAACTGTTTATATTGCCATATATAGAATTTTCTCAGAAATCCATGTTTAAAAATATACAGGGCGTTCCATTTAAAAAATGTAATCTTTGACGTGTCCCGTTTTTACTCAACGCCCTGTATGTTTCAAATTAATTTTGTAGTTTAGGTTTCTTGATTCTGTACAACTTTTATATAAACTTTTTTTCTGTATTACATATAAGTAATAAGGGAGTTATTTTACTTTCTTACACTAATGGCCCACCCTGTTTATTATTTTTTTTGAAAGAACATTTATAAAGCACAGAAAATGTACTTTGTTCATTATCAATAATTTAAATTGAGAAAACTGGTAATGATTTATTTTAGTTACAAGGTGGACCAAGACAAGATCGACACTTTGGGGATTCCCCTACTTCCTGAAAAGAAAAAAGGGTAGCTTACATGTCACAGACTTGATTTTTGAGAAAAGTTAAATGGAGAAATCGACATCTTGATATCTTGCTTCAAAGTTAGATTATTTTCAATTTTAGTTCATTTCTATGTGCTACAAGTTTTTTGTTCAGGAATATAATAAATTTTTGTAAATATTCCATAACTTTTGTTTTTTTTTTAATTATTACGCAAACATATATTTCTTAATGGAACACCTTACATATTTTTCTCTTTCTGAAATCTACGTGAAGATTCCTTTCAAATAATGTATCATGAATACGTTATATTCACACAAGTAATAAACCCGCCTCTCAACTTTTCCAATGTCGAGGTCGTGACATGTAAACTATTTTTTTGGAGAAATAGGAGAAACCCCTACTATTTAATTTGGTCCACCCTGTACATAATTAAAGAATAAAAAATGCCATGAATTGCTTTCAAATTTCGCTGCTACTGTGTGTGAGGAAAAAATATTCCTCTACAAGATTATGACAATCGCAAATTTATATTTACTATTAAAAAAAATGCATTTTTCTCTATGCATCTCTATTACTTTGGATTTTTTTACTATGGGTTTTTATTTGCTTAAAACACCTGTACCAAATTTCAGTTTGGCACCGCACTTTAAAAACCCCCTGTATAACGCAAGCAATTGACGAGAAGTTTGTGCACGAAACGAAAATCAAAATCCCTAATTAGCATTAATTTTGAGGGGGTTGTTTCTCCCCATTACTTTCCCTCAAACTGAAGTCGTCTTCTTCTTCGTCGTCGCTTCTCTCTAACCCTTGCGCAATCAAGAAATCTATTATCCGATAGTCCCGTCCCGTTTCGGTATTGGCGATCCAAAGGGGAAGCCACTTGTTCGCCAATAACCACTGAACCGACACTTTACTGATCCTACCGGTACCGTCGGTGGTGCCGTACAAACTCTCGATTGCATAATGATTACTGTTAATCGATCCGCACGAAGAAGACAGGTGGCGCTCTATCCGCCCTATACCGTGTCCGATAATATCAATCCTACCATAAGCGTTTCCGATACGTCCGTAAGTACTGCTACAACTAGGTTGGTCCAGGTTCACGTCGTAGATGGGATCCTCTTGTTCGGGCTGAGATTGCTGCTGGTGGATTTGTTGCTGCCTAATGTCTTCTATGGTCTCGTAAATGTTCTCCGTTTCCTCTGTGCTGGCACTGGGGTCGTGGCAGATGGTTTCGTAGAAGTTATCGAAGTGTGAGGATGTCGTCAGGTGTAAGTCGTAGCCAACTGCGCCTTCGGCGTTGCTGTTCTCGTCGCAGTTCACATATCTGAAATAAAATTTTGGTATTTTGATAGTACAAAATGTCATCTTATCTTACTCTTCAATATTAAGATATACATTGTTTCTCACGGGTGTAACATATCGTAACAACCTACTAGGTAGATAATGGTCCTTTAAAACATGTAAACAGACAACATTGGTCTCGACATTGTAAAATGCCCTTAATAAAATTAAACGATTACAATTTGCCAGCAGCCAGCATGTGAAAACCAGTAAAAACTGACTGCTCTAGATGAAAGTGAATTTTTCATCAATGAATTTAAAAACTCATACAATTTTTATACAGATTATCCGTCTGATATCAAATTTGATATTCAGGATAAAATGACATTGTTGCCATGTTGCCACTTTTTCAGATATAACAAGAAATTTCATAATTTTTTTATTAACTCTTAATTTATTCTGACATTAACCTGTTGAACGCCTGTTGCGAGAAGTGCACTCCTCACTGGCTTGATGCCTTTTTGCGCTAGCGTATATACATATAACGAGCATTCAAATAAAAATGTGGTCGAAGTTGGCTCTGACACATTGGACGTAGGGAGTAGCTTATAGCGACCAACTTAACCTCATTTCTCAACGAGCTGTATAGCAGCTGTCAGTTTCAATAACGTTAATGACTATATAACTTTATTTTAAAGAATAATCGTGATAACAATAACAAACAATTAAAGGAGCTGCGGAAAGTGTCCCCCTCCTTGTTATAACAATAAATTAAAGCAGCTGCTGAAAGTGTCCCCCTCCTTGTTCCAAGCACTTTTCACACCTGTTCCTCAAAGAATTAAAGACATTTTCTAAGATGCTCGGGGTATTGTTAATTTCACGAATCTTGTCTATAAGTCGAGCCTGCAGATGGTTTAAATCAGGAATAGGCAGTTCAAAAATAGTGTTTTTAAGGTAAGGCCACAAAAAGAAATCACACGGCGTAATATCACATGACCTCGGTGGAAATTCATGTTCAGCATTGAGACTTATTAGTCGATTTTGGAAAACTTCCCTCAACATATTCATCGTCTCGCCTGCCGTATGTGCCCTTGCGCCATCTTGTTGAAAGTAAAAGTTTGTAATTTCGTTTTCTTCCAGCTGGTTAACAAAAGGAGCGATAATTTCTTCTCTATACCTTTGCGCAGTAAGAGTACCATTAAAAAAAATAGGTCCATAAATCCTCCTTCGATTGAGAGCACACCAAACTCCAATTTTTTGAGCGTGTAGAGGGCCCTCGACAAAAAAGTTATCTGGTTTTTCAGAAGACCACATTCTCATATTCTGTGAGTTTACGTAACCACTTAAATGAAACCAGGCTTCATCAGAAAAAAAGGTGATATTATGAAGTTCACCGTAGTTGTTTAAAAACCATTCACAAAATACAGCCCGTCGCGGAAAATCAACTTCATGAAGTTCTTGCTGACAAGTTAAACGATAGGAGAACAAACGCAAATCTTTTTTTAACACTGTGTGGCAGGTACCGACTGATACTCCCACCATTTGTGATAAAACACGTACAGAAGTTCTTGGCGCATTTTCCATTATTTGTTGGACATTTTCTTTTAATTCTTCAGTCCGCTTTTTAGGTCGGCCGCTTCCTTCTTTTCTTGTTACACTGCCCGTTTCACGAAAAACATTAACACAACGCTGAACTGCACTTTGAAAAATTTTGTACTCAACAACGCCGGGAAATTGATTTTGAAATTCTATGAAACATTCCTCAATAGAATACTTCCATATTCCATCAATCTTGCGTCCATTTCTAAAGTAGGACTCTATGATAAACACTTTTTGTTCTTGAGAAAACACCATTTTAAACGCTTTTTAAAACGAAAATATTCAAATTGATAGCGGCGATATAGCGCTTTGACAGATGACGTTTAAGTTCATTTGCTATACGCTATGCCCTACGTCCAAATTTTCAGAACCAACTTGACCACGTTTTTATTTGAACGCTCATTATATCATATTCAGTTTACAATAGAATTGCGGTTGTCATAAACAGTATACTGTACTTATATTCTAAGAAAATAAAAACAATAAAACAAATATATTAAAATTGTTGCAAATATATATAATTCTGATGTACGCCCAGTTTCACAATCTGTGGTTAACTAGCAGTTAATTCCTTACCAAAGGTTAACCGCAAGTGACGACATCTAGTTAACTTCAATGTCTTGGTTATGTCATGATAAAGATAACCAGAACCTTATGTGTAAGTTAACCTGAAGATTTATAGTTAAAGTTAACCTATATAACCGTTATATTAAAAAAAATAAATCAAAATTGAATTTTAAATATTACGAGGTAAATGCTTACAGTAGTGATGAGGAGGTTAGGAGACCACGAATTTTCAAAGGCCAAATTTTTATAAAGAATATAACCCATAAGATTTTTTCACAAGATTTAGGCTTTCTCCATGTACAGTATAAAATTTATTAGAAGAACTACAGGATATTATTAATCACTGTATGCAAAGGTACACATTCTATATTTCTATATATTTTGAAAATTACAATACCTAATTTTTTTTGCCAATGGTTCTTTTCTAAGAATCTCTGCAGATTTCTGTGGAGATAGTAAAGCCTCAGCGCCTAGAGCTGCAATTAAAGCTTTAGGCGCACACAAGATAAGTTCAAAACTGGTGTGGGATTGTTTACAAATGCTGACTGAACTGGCCACCAATAATACAGTTAGACTGTGTTGGGGCCAGGGCATAAAGGCATTTGTGGGAACAAGAAAGCGGATGAACTTGCTAGGAAGGGATCTGAGACAGAGTTCATTGGCCCGGAGCCCTTCTGTGGCACATTTCCCAGTGTGGCGAGGCGGGCAAATGGACTGAGACAGAACACAGGAAATACTGGACTTCAAGGCCAGGACATAGCCATTCTAAGGAGCTTATGGAGTATCCTTCGAAGGAAAGAGCAAACGATTTACTGAGCTTGAACAAAATCCGGCTCAGGAGAGTGACAGGACTCATAACAGAACACTGTCACTTTAAGAAACATCTACATAAGCTAAAACTTGTAGACAGTCCGATCTGCTGAGGATGTGACTCAGCGGATGAGACTTCTCTGCAAATCCTGGGCACCCACCACATAGAAAAATGACGCTCCTGGGGAGACCTTATTTGGAACCCAAGGAACGGAGAAAAGTGTCAGCAATGAAGCTTTTGGACTTTGTCAAAAGGACAAATCTACTTGCTGAATAGGACTAGTAGTGAGACGCACAATAGGCCTAATTAGGCCGCGGTGCTATGGGACTTATTAGGACCAATCACTAGGAAGAAGCAAGTAGGGTGGTGAGGAAGAGTAAGTTTAGAATAGCAGACTTGCGACCACAATATATAAAAATGTCAGAAGGAGAAGAAATCAACCAAATTCGACAAGCCTGAAAACTTACTTTCTCACACAAATAAGCGATTATCACAAAATATGTTATTTCTTCCCCTTCTACCAAATTTTATCACTTGTACATTGGAATAAATTCCTAATAACACTCGAAAAATCAGCTTAACCCCAGGTTGGCTTACTTGAAGATGTAATGGCTGTTGTGAAAGAGTTGTATTGAAGCAAACTTCTCTTATTTAGCAGCAAATACAGGGTCGGAAAGTCCCCATGGTTCATTGGCCGTTACGTGAGAGCAATAAAGTAAGTCATAGAAATCTGTGCGATAGAGAAAGATGGCTATAATGAAGGCGTCTAATAGTCACCGCCCATTTCGCCCTTCCACAAATAAGAAGTGGATCTTATTTGTGGAAGGGCGAAATGGGCGGTGACTATTAGACGCCTTCATTATGTTGTACAACAAAAGTTTGCGCAAATTGTTTGATCGTATATGGGGCCTATTAGATACGAACGAGCTTCCTCGTACTGTTACTCGGATTCTCAGGCTTACGGCATTATGTTGTTATACGGTCATGATGTTATGGAGGTTGAGGTTAGGAGTTTCAAGGTTATAGAGATTGTATGAAAAGTCCATAAAAAAACTAGTTTTACTATTTATAGTTGAATTATTTGGCACTGAATGAGTGGCACCTGGAATTCATTGGGCTTTTCAAGATATTCATATAAATTAACGATTAAAAAAAAAATCCTAATTTGTAGGGACAAAACAGAAATCAGAATCAAATTCACTGACTGAAAATATCTAAGAATGACATGCTTTATGGCACAGACAATTTATTTTGTGGACCTGTGTAATTATCTAAAAATTAAACATGTTATATCTAAATATTATTACACGAAAAACATATACGGTACCTATTGATATTATTAAATTATATAATCCTTTCACAGAAGTATCTTTTACTCTTCTTCTAACATAAATCTTTGACAAAGACCCACACGTAAATACAAAGCCTTCATAAATGTTTACAAGTCACGTGACCACCGAGTTTAGGCAACCCAACATTGGACGACTGGTACTGGTAATGAAAAACCCCTAAATTTTGGTATCATCAATATTTATGATTCATTTCCAATGAATAGTGACGAACCGTTACGTTTACGTTCGAGATAATGCGATCGCTGATTGGTTGAATAGAATCTTGTTAAAAATCACAGTCGGTGAAACAAATGTTGTGTTTTAATGTAATCTTGATCTTATCGTTGTAATAATTTTTAGTTTTACCGAAATTTAATTGCCAACATGAAGGAAATAAAATTACTATTCCAAACAGAACTACTGGTCATGTGACTTGTAATCATTTATGAAGACTGTATAACCACCTATAAATAGATAGATCTCAGCTTTTTCTGCATCTTGAAGATTACTTTTCTCAAGTGGCCTCTCCATAAACTGAATTAATAAACATTAATGGAACAAAGTTATAAAACACAAAATTTATTTACTATTTATTACTATTTACTAGATATTGGTGATATAATTCAATGCTATTCAGGACATGTAGACTGCAGATTAGTTGTTTCCTGCAATATTATCAATTAAGAATCTTGTCTACAAGATTAGATATCTTTTGGATGTGTGGTACATGTCTGCATATGACCCATTTAAAGTATCATGTTAAGAGCGCTAGCCTGACGCCGGACCATTTAACAGTTGCAAGCAAGAACAGACGAATCTGCAACTAACATATGGTTCCCGGAAAAGAGCCACGGCTGATTGGCGCCAGGGACTAGATACATACTCCCGCGAGCGACTCCACAAATGGACTCTCCAATGAACGCTTGTCCCAACCACATTTCTTTTCACTGCACTTTTCTTTTCAATAAAATAGCTATTTATGATATACGTGTTAAAAGTAAGATTTTATTTTGTGAGTGAAGATGTAACTTCACGAACAAAATAAAATCACTTTTAACACGTATATCATACACTATTTTTTCTACAAAACTGTTAAGAGTGGGCTTTTTAATTGTCATTTTTGATGTTAAAAATTACAATTAAAAAGCCCACTTTTAACAGTTTTGTAGAAAAAATACTTTTTATTTACCATTGAGAGAGAGTTTCATTTTGCTGCACACCCAAAGCAAGCCTTTTACATACTTAAATTTTTGGTATCAAAGTACACTGTTTGGCTTCATTTGACAGGATTGTTAGGAAAACTTTTTGAATTTATTTGCATTATAGCTTAGTACCTTTAAAATCCAGCAAAACTAACAGGAAACTTTTTTGAACAGAACACTATATATGTATGTATGTATGTATGTATGTATGTATGTATGTATGTATGTATGTATGTATGTATGTATGTATGTATGTATCTCGGAGGTGTGATGGAATTGTCTTCCGCCACAGCACTTAGGCCTTATTAGGCCCTTAGAACACTGTATAATCTATTTAGTTATCTTACAATTATGGGAAGATATGTACAGGAATGTGAATTTAGCATAATATATTAGACAAAGATTTAGTTGCCTGAAAAATTGTAGTAATAAGCTTTTCAAATTTATTTTATCCAAATAAGTAAAAAATACAGGGTGGGAATAGGAAAATTTCTATTTATTGAACACTTCCCCAAAATCCTTTAAAACGATAGCTGCAAGAGCAACTGACAAATATACATAAATTTGGAAAGGAAAGCACTGTTTAATTTTTGATACGTTGTTGTGTTATATCCTGTATATTTTTTTATTTATTTAAATATTTAAATCCATTTATGCTAAAATCCTGGACACCCAGTATTTTTTCTATTCAGAATTAAATAAATAAAAATGTGTAAATCTGGATGAATCTGGTTGAACAATGCTAAATAAACCATAGAAAAACAGCTTACCTTCCACCCGACGAACTGTTTGCAGGGACCCCATTGCCAGCGTGAGGCGACCTTCAAATAGGTTTATCTATAATAGCTACCCCTGCATAGCTACGTCCGATGCCCATGCAGCTGGGCAACATTGTCCAACTGTCTGTTTTTGGGTTGTACACTTCCACAGAAGCCAAATTGCAGGATCCATCGTCGCCACCAACAACATACAACAACCCATTCATGGCTACAACGCCCGCGTTCCTCCTGCACAACGCCATGTCACTGACTGGGGTCCATTTGTTTTTAGCTGGATCATATGCTTCCACTGATTTACGAACTAAAGGTCCATCGTGTCCTCCCACAGCATAGAGGATGCCATCTAAGACACCAACTCCTAAAATCGGAATTCAAGTTTAAAGAAAAAGGTAGAAGGTGAAAAATTTGTATGACAAAAAAATGTAAATAGTTCAGTATAAAAATAAAATTGTGATTTTATTGTAAATTAAAAAAAATATTTTCTTTACAATTTACAATATAAGGCAAAGCAAGTAAGGTCACTGCACAGGTCACAGCACAATTAATTGCGAATGGAAACGAGAATTGCAAACAGTTGTATTTTATATTTTTGCAAGACATACAGGGTGTTTTTAAATGAAGTAGGAAAAATGGTACCGGCGAATGTAGTCAAAAATAAGAGGATTGAAGTAAAAATAACTTATATGAAAGTTGCACCCCTGAGGCGATATGCCCTCTAAAGGAGGGGATTGAAATTCACATTTTAATTTTTTTCTTTAACATGAGGAATGCTAGAGACACGGAACTTGTTATGAGCATCCTACTAATAAAGAGACAACTTTTCAATATTTGTTCGATCATTGACGAATTTTATAAAGGAGTGAAACAGTCAATCTTATTGCAATATTTTATTAGAAATTTTTTATATGAAGCAAATTATTTATTTAAAAATATTTATTGGGAAGACTAATTTATTGCGCAACTTCTTTACCTCTTGTAATTTTTCGATAAAACCGAGTTTTCTAGTAAAAAAATTAGATGCGAAAATTTGTAAAAATAAAGTAGGGGGATGTCATAACAAATAAATTGTTATTTATCATATTAATAAATTGACACTTTCTGTCAACCAATAATTAGTACCAATTGATTAATTTATTATCAGAATAATTATGGCAAATAATATATATACCAATGACAAATATGTAGACGTGCTCAAAATGGTTTTTCGAATCTAGAAAAAATAGTAACGCTGCAGTAAGATTATACCACCAAAGATATCCAAACCGACCAATTCCTCATAGACAAACATTGGCCTAGGTGGAAAGAAGGCTTCGCGAAACTGGTAAAATTCAGCCCAATCGTGAGGGTGCCAGAAGAAGGCGTAATGTACGAACTGTTGAAACTGAGGAAGCTATACTGGAACATCTAGAACAAGACTGTGGTACAAGCACAAGACAGGTGTCCAGGCAACTGCAAGTTTCTCACAGTCTTGTGATCATTTATACCCTTTTCAGTTTTCACCATCAACCCGTGCAAGAATTAAATGACCCTGATTTAACTAATCACATGGATTTTTGTCAATATTTCCAGGCATGACTTAAATTTCCTAATGAATATACTTCTCACCGATGAAGCAAATTTTCCTAGAGTAAGTGGAGTAAACCTTCATAATGTTCATTCATGGTCAGAAGAAAATATTCATTAAATATTTGTTACAATATGTCAACATAATTTCAGTTTAAACGTTTGGATGGGAATTGTAGGAAATACTTTAGTAGGTCCTTTTATTTTTCCACACAGGTTTGGAGCGGCCGAGTATCTTAGATTTTTGAATGAAAATCTTCCAATATTACTTGAGGATATACCCCTTGCTACAAGTCAGGTAATGTGGTATATGCACGATGGGGTGCCTGCACATAGTACACTTGCCGTTAGAGAATGGCTAAATTTAAATTACCCGAATCGCTGGATTGGTCGTGGTAGTGATGCCCCTGTTTGTTGGCCTGCACGTTCACCTGAACTTCTATGGATTTCTTTTTGTGGGGACACATAAAAAGTATTGTTTATGTGTATACTCCTGTTGCCTCCTTAGAAGAACTACGCTTAAGAATATTTCCGACAGCAGATGACCTTTGCAATAACCAAGAACCGTTTGTGCAAGTGTGTTATAACTTCAACAGACGTATTGGGTTATGCTTGCAGTAAAATGGAAATTATTTCAAGAATATTCTTTAAATTTAATTTTGCATATCTTATTTTTCATTTGTATTAAATTTTATTTCAGATAAATAAATAATAATTACCTGATCATGTCCCATAGTCATAAGTTATCAAACATTTTTCATTAATTAATAGCAAATTATTCTTAATGTTATTATTAAATTACCAGCTTACTGATAGAAAGTGTCAATTTATTAAAATGATAAATAACAATTTATTTGTTATGACATTCGCCTACTTTATCTTTACAAATTTTCGCAATTACCCCTTCTAATTTTTTTACTAGAAAACTATCGGTTTTATCGAAAAATTACAAGAGGTAAAGAGGTTGCGCAATAAATTAGTCTTCCCAATAAATATTTTTAAATAAATACTTTGCTTCATATAAAAAATTTCTAATACAATATTGCAATGAGGTCGACTGTTTCACTCCTTTATAAAATACGCGAATGATCGAACAAATATTGAAAAGTTGTCTCTTTATTAGTAGGATGCTCATACCAAGTTTCGTGTCACTAGCATTCCTCATGTTAAAGAAAAACATTAAAATGTCCCCTCCATTAAGAGAGTATATCGCCTCAGGGGTGCAACTTTCATACAGGGTGTTGCATCACGAGAGGGACATGGCTTAATGGGAGATAGAGGACATCTAGGGTAACTAGGATCGCCTACAGAAATAACTTCTTGGCCATTCTTTATTGAGATACAGGGTGATTTATGATTTTTGGTCAAAACTGCTTTATGTCATAACTTTGGTAGGGAATGGAATAATGGGTTCATATTTGGTAGGGTTAATGCACTCACGATACTTCATGTATGCATGTATGACAGCAAAAAAATCCAGGTCCGGACTGCAAAAATTGTAAATTTTTTGTGCAAGTCTAGAAAACAACACTCTGTATGTATTTTTTTGAAATTCCCATACGATATTCGGAAAGAGCATAAAAAAGTGATTTTAAAGACATGTTTCTTTTTTTTTACACTTTGGTGGTTATTTAAATAAGCTATTGAATATACGAGACTACGGCTTCTAAAACTAAATTATGTGAAGGACACATGATAAAAATGGTTTTGCAACTAAAATTAGCGAAGGCTTAATTGAGGGTAGATGTTATAAATAAGCATGCATATTTTAAACCTCATTTTCTTTAAATAATATGTATTCCAGGTCCGGACTGCAAAATTTTTAATTTTTTTTTTGTAACTCTAGAAAACATCGCCCCGTATGTATTTTTTTAGTATTCCCATACGATTATCGAAAAGAACATAAAAAAGTAATGTAATCTCAGCGACATGTTTCTTTTTCTTGTTACACTTTGATGATTACTTAAATATACGAGTAAGAAACACATGACATGAGTAAGTAAAAGATACATGATAAAAATAGTAGTTTATTTCTTTTAGTAAATAGTAGTAGTAGTAAATAAAGTTATGACATAAAGCAGTTTTGACCAAAAATCATAAATCACCCTGTATCTCAATAAAGAATGGCCAAGAAGCTATTTCTATAGGCGATCCTAGTTACCCTAGATGTCCTCTATCTCCCATTAAGCCATGTCCCTCTCGTGATGCAACACCCTGTATAAGGTATTTTTACTTCAATCCTCTTATTTTTGGCTCTACATTTACTGGTACCACTTTTGCTATTTCATTTAAAAACACCCTGTAAATGCATAATGAAAATTCCGACATTCAAGAACGAAAACAAAGCAAATACAACAATAGGTTCGCCAAGATGGCAACGACAAAGATATTACTAGATCAATGAAAAATATGTCTCTTTACTCCAGAAAAATCCTCATTAATTGTTAATAGTGGTTTTAAGACTCACATCCCCTGCTGATATTTAACATCTGATGGTTTTTTTCAAGTTGTTAAGCTGTGACCTATGTACCTGGTCGTTGCCAGTTACAAATTTACATTGCAGTTGCTTAGTCTGAGCTAGAAATATTTGACATGCTCATGTTGTTCTCGGACTGGGTGCATACCCGATATCAGAACCTCTTCATTAGCGGCACAAAGTTTTTGCAGTCACCACTGTTGATGACGACAGTGAAGAACGGTGAAACGTTTAGTAGCACTGGGAGCGTGAACAGAGGAGGGGAGGGTTGCAGTACCCATGGACCCACTAATTTTTTTTGAATGTGTCTTTTGAATATATTTTTTTTTAAATAAAGAGGTGTTTTTGATTTAGAGCATGGTTTACGAGATATTGTAACTTTTTTGGATAGGCGTTATCAATTTAGTTGACGGTAGACTTTAATTTTTGGGATTTTATGAAAAATTTATTTTTCACACAACAGTGAACGAAACGAATTGTACAAGGAAAAGAGCACTTTACGCTGAAACCACATATTTTGGTTAGGGGCTTGCTGTACGAGATGTCGCAACTTTTTTAGATATGTTAGATTTAACTCAAATTTAATATCACTGATCATGATGATGATTATTTCCATTTTATTCAGTAAATTGAAATAAATAAGACTCAAATCTTTCATATATCCCCAAAAAATAAAGTCTAATGTCGACTAAATTGATGTCGTATACCCAAAAAAGTTACAATATCTCGTAAACGAGGCCCCAAATCAAAAAAATTGAATAAAACGCCGTTTTATCTAAAAAAAAATATTCGGAAAGCATAGGTGTACTCAAAAAAAAAAAAAATAGGGTCTATGGGTTCTGCAACCCCCTCCCATCCCTTTGCGATATTTTAATCCAAAATTACACAAAAAGTGTACCGACTTAAGATCAAAGTAGGTATTTGCGAAATTTCAAATAAATGTCTCTACAATCATCGGAGTTATCAATAAAAATTATTTTTTAAATTTTAATTTTGATACCCTGTATTTTGAAAACGGGGCTCCGAAATGAAATGTGACATAAGAAAAGTCCCATTATATTGGTCCAAAGAATATGTGGTTAACGGGTTAAGCTACTAATTTGTAACACCCTGTATAACGATTGAGGTAACCATGTTATTTATGAAAAACAATTAAGTATTATTGATGTGGCATGCCTCAACTATTTTTGCAACTTATATTAAACAACATACTTTCATTAATTTACCATTTCCTAAACATGCTTATAGGAACTATGCTAGTATGTGCCATAGAATATGCCAATAAAGTTTGGCCCAGTATTTTAATTACACCCTGTATAGCAAACACATTTCCTTTAGTTTCAATTTTACCTGCACCACTTCTCCTTGAACACATATCTGGCACCGGAGTCCAACTATCAGTTTCAGGAGTATAGCATTCCACAGAACTCAGACATTGTCTAGAGGCTCCGTCATATCCCCCTACCTAAAAAAAAATACATACCTATACTATAGTACATTGTGTAACGAGTGAGGAAAAGTTGCCAATAGCGCCACGCGGGTGCAGTTGACGGAAAGCGCCCAAGTGGCGCTATGGCAACTTTTCCGAACGAGTTGCACATACTATTTTCTATCACAAGTGCGAGTCGTTATGGGACCTATAATGTAGGGGGTTATATCCACAGAAAGTGCAAGATAGTACAACGGCATGATGTTATTTGCATTGTGTTATGAAAATAACATCACACCATTGTACTATCTGGCACTTTCCGTGCACATAACCCCCTACGCTATAGGCCCCATAGCAAGTGCGCGTGATAGAAAAATTATAAAATAGACATCCTTTACTTATTTATTTATACAGAAATTCTATTATTTACATAACGACTTACGATTCACATATTTTTTCATTATTTCGGTTCCTTACCGCATATAACTGTCCATATAAAACACCCACTCCAACGCTACTTCGCCTAGTGGACATTTCAGCAATAAGTTTCCACTTTCCCATCTGAGGTTCATACATTTCTGCAGAATTCAATCCCGTAGATCCATCAAAGCCTCCAACTGCATATATACAATTATTTAACACAGCCACACCCAAAGTAGATCGCCTCGCTTCCATGCTATCAGCACTTGTCCACACATCCAAAGCAGCGTCGTAAACATCAACTGTTTTCACCCTTAAAGATCCATTGAATCCACCTACCTATAAATTTTGATTAATAAGAGATTTCAGTTTTCAAATAACTTCCATAATAATTAGTCCAATTAACGGACCTTTAAGTTGTAATTTTAGTCAATTACCCCTAATTTTTTTTTAAATTATGTAGTTTGAGGTACCTATATACACTAAGCACAGAAATTAAGGGATATTAAAAAAATCACAAATTTTTGGGCGATTTTCAGAGCTGTAACTTGGAGGAAAATGGGCGTAGAGAATCAAAAAAAAAAAAAGAAAATTGAAGCTTCAATTGTCTAGTTTTCAGATTTGCAGTTTAAAATTTTTTAGCGTCTGCAGTTTTTTAGTAATCATAAGGAAATCAACGAAAAAAAAAGTTTGAAAATGTTTGCTTTTTTTAAAAAGGCCTATGGACTTAAAAATTTTTTTTTTTATAATTTCGTCATAAACCTCTTTTAGATAATTTAATTTTCTTTGGTTTGAGCGGTTCCGGAGCCTAGTACTATTATTTGTCGTTGAGATATCGTCGATCAAAGCAAAAAAATTATTTTTGACTTTGGCAATTAATTACTTGGAAAAAATGGTCATACGTATCCAAGCACGGTTTTGAAAACTGCAAAGTATTTTCTACAAGTCGTAATTATGGGTTTTAGATAAGAAAAATGTTTTCAAAATGAAAATGGTTAGAAAAAGGTAAAAAATTGCATAATTAGGCATATTTGAATAACTTGGCATAACTTTGCCAAAAATGAATAAACTAAGGATATCGACTGTAACTTTTCTACCTCAAAGTGTCCTAAAGAAACCCTGATAATTTTAAAAAGCTGCAAGTTTTTTTTCCTAGTGCCCGGAATGTTTAAATTTGTCGTTTTGCTGAAAATCACAGTAAAAGTAATTTTTCACTTCTTATTTATTTTTTTAAGTTAAAAATATTATTTTAGCAATAATCCATATTTTCTTCATCAAAAAACGTTCATGATTCTAAAAAAAAAAAATTTTCAAAAATTATTTTCCAAGCTTCCCAAACGTCAAAAAAAATTTTGTTGATTTGACGTTGCAGATCACAATTTAATATCGGTCATTGCCGCCTCTGTTCCTGATCACCAATTCTAAGCGATCTCGCATATTAATTTACCGCCGGATGTCTCGTTACATAATTCCTTGCCAAGTTTGTAAAAGAGTCTGGGTCAATTGATGGTGATTTTGTAATTGCGGATAATCTCGTTGTCATCGACGCCCGAGCATGTCCTAAACATGTCCAATGGGATTCAAGTCGGGACTCATAGGTGGGTGGTTGAGAGTTACCACATTGTTGGCATGAAGAAACTTTCTCGTACGTTTTGCCCTATGAAGATGAGCATTATCCTGCATGAGAATGAAACGATTGCTCATGCTTGTACGCATGGGCAGGACGTGTGGTTCAAGGATTTTGGTGATGTATCTTTCGGCAATGGGGAATGATTACCAACTGAATTCTGATATTAATGGATACGCCTGTCCCAAAATTTTGTGATTTTTTTAATATCCCTAAATTTTTGTGGCTAGTGTATTAACAATAAGTGACAGTAATTTTTTCAACCCTTGGCCAGGGGTGAAAAAAATAAAATAATGTACCCAAAAGGGGTAAGAGCTAGAAAAATAAGTTTCCTATAAAAGTTGTAGAGCATAAAATTTGACATAAAAATGATGTATTGATTATTATTTCTTCTACTATTAAAATTAAGTCTAAATTCTGTCCGAGTCAGAAACGTAAACTTATTTGCGTTGGTCCGTAGATATGTAAGTTTAAATAATTTTATTTTGATCCCAAGAATCAATTCATGCACATGAGAAAGTAAAATGCCAATATTAAAAATTTTATACTATTAGTAATAAACTTGTGTTAAACCACTGCTACTACTAGTTTTAAAGCAATTAATTTCGATTTCCTCATCTGTGCCACGATTATTTTTACATCCATTCAAATCAAATGACAGAATAAAGTACTTACCGCATAAACTTTCCCACCCAAAACCGCTAAACCGGCTCTACACCGCCTCGTTGGCATTTCCGCAACTTGGAACCACCTTTCCTCTTTAAAGTCGTAACTCTCAACACTTCTTATGGCTTTAGGAGCTTGCCCTCCAACAACCAATAGAACTTTGGGTAAACCTACTGGTTGTCTGGGCTTTGTGCGGGGTGTCCTGAAGGCGGTTTTCGTATCTCCCTTTAGTAAGTGATATTTTAAAGCTTCTATAAGATAGTCTTTACACTGTATGTCAGCCTTTAAGAGAGGCTCTTCTTCCACCCTCTGTACGAGATAGTCTTGGGACATTAGAGGCAGGCGAACGTGTTCCATGAGAGACGCCAAATGCTTGTGTCGGTTCTCCAAGTCATGTTGCACCCATGCAATAACACATTCAAATACCTAAAGTAAAATATTTTTTTAAAACAGTAAACTCAAGACGATAACTATTATAAATTATTACAAAGGGTATTTCAAAAACATCTGCCGTCGCCTTGGAGACATTTTTAACTAAAAATAAGACAAAAAATTCACAAATTTGAGAATTCAGAAACATATAACTTCACTAATCAGACACATTTACTAGTGACGACTTTTCTTGTTGGAGTCTTAATTACAAAGCACCAATTTTATCATTTGAAATTGCAGTAGATATTTTTCATATTTAATCTTTTAAAATATGTACATATTTTTGAAGAATTTTTTAATTTTGTGTCCACTAATGTACTTTACTTAAAAAAATATGTGGAATTAAACTTAATGACCTCCCGAATGGCACTGGGATGTTGCGGGTTTGATGTATGAAAGTTCAACGAGATATTCAAAAATAAAAGTAAATTAAGGATATCACATTCTTTCAGTTAGGCCAGTTTTTCAAATTGCTCCTGTAATTGTGCGTGGAAAAAATATTTGTCAAGGACATTTAGAATTTTTGAAGGAAACTGACTACATTACTTTTCTAAATTTATTTGAACTCCTAGTAAAATATCGACATGTTGATTTGTTGTTTGTTTTTAATTGAATTAGTGGTTATGCAAATTGTTTGCAATTATTTTCATGATTATTATTTGATATTAGGCCGAGAACAAACAGAAGTAGGCTTTAGTTTTATACATGACCCAGCTAACTAATTATGGATATCACAATCCACTTTGTCGTTTACAATGCGAATACAATAGTTGTCCCTCTGATATCTTTTGCAAATCTCTTAGTTTATTTGAAAAATCTATATCTAAAAAAAGGCTTGGGGCTAATACAGTGTAACACACAACTACATACATCAACATGTTTTAGTAATTGTCTTATGCTATTATCGTGAAATGTAATTTAATGATGTAATTTCACTAATAAATTATCCCTATTGTTAATTTTATTGAAATTAGTTCATGTCGTACACGATTCACAACTGTATCTATTAGATGTTTTTTTTTTTGCAAAAAACGCCTCCAACTTCTATGAACATGTTTCATTTTTGATGTATTAATTTTTTAAATTATTCTTAGTCTCTATATCTCTTATTTAAAGAAAATTTATTTTGTAAAAGTATACATCTTAGCAATAAAGGTGTAAGTAACTGTTTAAAGGATGGCATTGAAGTTAAAAAAACCATATACAGGGTGGGCACACGAAAATTACTCCCTCTCCTTTAATCATTGAGACATGAAAAAAGTGCAAGAATAAAAGTTTAGGCAACTTAATAAATTCTATAACACCTATATTTCTAAAAGAAATATAGTTGTTATAGTATATATATATATATATATTGAAGTTAAGAGATGAAAATCGGTATTTTGTAATGACTTTTTTGTAATTTATTAAATTTGTATAATTTTTGGGTAAAAGCCAANTATATACTATTTAGTATATATATATAGTAAAATACAGGCCTAATATATGTTTTTTTTTTTAGATGGAACACCTTATATATTTTTACATATTTGGACAGAAAGTTTTTATCAGATTACTGTGATATAAGGTTTCATAAATAATATGTTAGATAAAGCCTTGTTTGCCTAGCAACTGATAATATTTTTCTTATATATTATGGTTCTTATATATTTTTTTATAGTATGTTAAAAAATTAGAGAATTCCATTTAATAAGTGTATGTTAGGTTTGTATTTCATTAATACGTTTATTTGTTTCTGAGACAGATATCAAAGAATTTTTGATATCTTGCTTATATTATCTTTTTATTGTTACACTCTTTCATATCTCAACATAAGGGATAATAGGGGTCACAATTTTCACTTTTAGATTTGAAGTAGATTTTTTATAATAGACTTAAAGTGGTTTTAATCTGAAAATTATTTATGGATTATTTAAATTATATAAAAAAGAAAAAAAAAACTATCTCAGAAATGAAGAACGGAGCCATGTTATAATAATTTTTGTTTTATTTTTGGAGGAAGAATCTTCTCACCCAACATTTGTTTTCTGAAACATCCTGAATTAACAATCATTCCATGCCAGTTTCATTTAAATTCTTTTGTCATGTTCTAAACATTAAAAATTTAATTTATTTTTGTCATTGAAACAACTACCAACTTATACACGTACATCAATAACATCTTATTTATAAGGTATATTAATTATATTTTCTTTGTTATAAATTGCGAGTACTTTTATATATCAAAACGTTAAAAATTCCCGGTTTCCCTATACTACAGATTCTAGATAAATCCTCAATTTAGCCAATACTCTGTGTACATGGAATTGCCATAGATTCTTGGATATAGATAAAACAACTTATCTAAACTTACTTCTGTCCAAAGTTGATTTGTTTAGTTGCTAAAGGGCATAAAAGTTGGAAGTTTTTTTCAAAAAATCCTTACTATGCTAATATGCTTTGCTAATACCTGTGTATGAATGTAACTTTTTGACATAGTAAACAAAGTAATTACATAACATAATTTTTTTGTTTTAATTAATAGTTTTCGTATTTTTATTTTATTACTTAATAAATTTTCGATTCAACTCCGATTTAACTCTCGTGAAAAATTATTATTACTCGATAATAGAAATAATAATGTGGAATTCAGATATTTGTAATCATTCCATAAACAAAATTATCACAGACTCGGCAGACAGATTTTTCTCAGCACTTTACCTATTCTGTAAAGTGTAATTATCAAATTTGAATTTCTGTTATTATTCTTATCCGAGGAGCATTAAATGAGATGAGAATCTACTGTTCAGTATGTAAATAATCTCACGAGTGTGAATATTTTTTTATAGACTGAATGTTGCGTTACTGAAAATGGTGATCAGTTCCAATAATTTTTGGAATAGAACATTCGGTTACAAGATTCTCAACTCCTCAAAGCATTATTTCATTTTTATTATCAGCTAGGAATAGGATTTTTCATGGCAAATCGATTTATATTGAAAATACAATGGTGATGACTAATAATTATGCGGAAATGATTAGAAATACAAATATTTTGTAGACAGAAGAAACATGGAATAATGCCTTATCTCTGTGATAAAACTGGGAGCTGAAAAGTGAACTAAAATCGAACTGATAAGAACTGAAGTTGTGGGATTGTCTGCAAAATAAATATGAGCATATTTGCTTAAGAGTAGAAGCTTTTTTCCATTTTTGCAAATCTAACTATTCAAGATATTATGTCAAAACGTAACAACTATACAGAAGTTCTTGTACACCATATATCATATAAAGCATTTAAGTTATTTGGAAACAATAATTTATTTTTTTTATTTTTTTAACTTTGACGTCATATGTTCTAAACCAGCGGTCTTCAAACTTTTACAACTTGCGGAACCCGGCCAACATTTCGATTTTTTTTGAGGAACCACATCTAAAAAAATTTTCAAAACATTTTTTATTGATTATATACCTATTTATAAATATTACATTATCAAAATAAATATTCCACTAATTAAAAATTAAACTAAGACTTTTTGAAGTAAATATTTATCGGATAATAAATAAAAAAGAGTAAATGTAATCAATGACTGGAATGCGCTTTTTGACAGAATCACAGAACCCCTAGAAAGATTGTGGGGAACCCAGGGTTCCGCGGAACACAATTTGAATACCGCTGGCCTAAACCTAGCAACTTTGGCTAGAAGTAGGCTCAGTTAAATCAGCTTATTTTGACCATAAGTCCCAAGAATCTGCGATATTATAGATGGAACATTTGAATCCTTCTTACTTGTTTTTTTAACAATTTTTAAAACAAGTTTACATCAAATCATTTAAATAAAAAAGTATTTAAAAAACAGATGTATAAATATTTTTGAAAAAAATGTAGTGCCCTCAATCATATCTAGTACAAATTAACATAAAAATCTATCTTGACAAATATTTTACGTTCTGTTAATGTTAGTATAAAATTGTATCAAATTTGCCTGTAATATCAGTCACTTCTCAGTGACCTATAATTAGTTGTAAAAAATTTAACCATCACACTATTTATATTTCGTTCAAACTAATACCTTACCCAGGTTTTATTTAGTATTTTTGCAGTTTTTCTTGTTCTAATTCTTCTTTTAAAGCTTCTTATTCTAAAGCTAAAATAAATAGTTATTGAGAAAAACGGATTTTAATTTTATATTACTCTTTTATCAGTTACAAACAGTCCAATATTTGACGGTATCCTATCTGATTAAACTTTTTTGCTAAATTTGTATATAAATTAGATATTTTTTATGATTTAGAGCAAACAGAAAAGATTTCTTTCTGCAGTTTTTTAAGAAGCATTTTGGTATTGAGGAAAATTTGATTCAATGAGTTATTTTGGGAAGCTGTGGGGTTACATTTTTTACAACTAATTATAACTCACCCTGTATAGATATTTTTATTTCTTCAGTAAATATAAAGATAAAAAGATAAATGTTTATAAATAGAAGACAGATATGAAAAATTGGATAAGCACAAATTCGAACCAAATGCTAGTGTTAACTTTGAGCAGGAATATTAACTAGATAAAATATTAAACGGTCCAATGTTCTTCCTGATAAAGTCTACTTTTAGAAATTTTTTAAAATATTATAAAACCTACCTAATCTCAATACATATTACCAGTTCGCATGGTTTCAAAATGAAATAAGGAAGAAAACATATACAGGGTGTACATTTTAAACAAACCATCCAAAAATCTTGAAAACAACATGTTCTGAGAAAAAATGTTTCAGACAAAACTTGTAGGGGTCAAACAACAGTGACCTTGAGTTTGACCTTCAGGTTGATTTTCAAGGTCAAATCGAAGTACGCTTCAGTTTCTTTAATGGGAATCCATATGTTTTATTATGGATTCGTATTCCTCGTAAGAAAATACATAAATTTTGTTTAGTACATTTTTTTTTAAAGTGCCTCTCTCTCTTGCTAATGGACGTGACACTACAGTTAAGCAGCCGAATCCGAATCAGACAACCTGATAACGGCCAAATTTGACACCACAGATAGGTTGCCTGACCAGTGATCGCATAGCCTAACACCACAGTTGAGTGTTTTACCCAATAACCATATCAAATAATGCTATGGTTGTGACGCCAAGGCCTGATAGCCCGCGTGCTGTCAGCGCGATTGGTCATCACTTTTTTGTAGGGGGGAACAAATTACTGGGCCAATGCGACCGTGTGTCTCGTCTCCACGGCGTCCTCAAGGCGCTGAGATGAGAAAGCTCAAGTAGTTGGTTAGTCAATGTTTTCCCTTGACTGAATGGACATTCACCCCTTGCCTTCAATGGTTGAATTGGTCAGATAAATTAACTCCAGGATCTAGGATTCAAGAGAGCACTTTCAAAAAAAAATGTTCGAAACAAAACTTACGTATTTTCTTACAAGTAATACGAATCCATAACAAAAAATATAGATTCCCATGAAAAAACTGAAGCGTTCTTCGATTTGACCTTGAAAATCAACCTGAATGTCAAACTTAAGGTCACTGTTGTTTGACCCCTGCTATTACCTACAACTTTTGCCTGAAATATTTTTTCTCATAATGGGTTGTTTTGGAGATTTTTGGATGGTTTGTTTAAAATGGGAAACCCGGTATACTAAAATTAAATTTGGAAGGCTTGCAGGGTAATTGGGAAAATAATACAGGGTGTTACAATATTCCACTGACAAAATTGTAATATATAAGTGAATCTGACAGTATGAACAAAGTTATAAACATGGAACTGCAAAGATTTCTTAAAAAGATTCCACTTTAAGATTCAAGATGAAAAAGTTTATAATTTGTTTTAGACTTTTCCCAGTAGTAGATTGTTACTATGGTCCTACTTTGGTAGTCAGCAAGAAATCCATATTACTACAGTTTCACTTAAAGCTAATCGACAAACTACATACTACATTTTGAAGAAACCCATCCAAACAAATAAAAATACTAAACTTGAAGTATACAGACATTTTGATCAAAAAAAAAAAATTTATAATGTAGATTAATTTGAACTGTAATTTGTATATCCCGGCCATCCACCAAAGTTTTGAATTAACAGGATTTAAATGGATTATAAAAAAAACGAGAAAAATAATAAATGAAAAAACTAAACTTTTCTCTTATTTATGGCCACAGAAATCATCTGTAGAATTTTTTCGGTATACCTATTCAGTAAAAAAGAACATACAGTTGGGTAAAAATTTGACAAAAAAAATAATACACCTCAAATTGAGAATTTCTAAATTACTATTATATTTTGCTGAAAGGTTTATTAGATTTTTTTTAACTTCACAGGTCTTTGATTTATAAATGATGTGATGATGTTGCATAATGAAATTTGTGGGATCTAAAAAGTAGGATATCTAAAACACTTGATGACATGTAAATTGTAAAAAACTCTGAAAACACTGACTGAAAAGTAAACATTGCCAATTATCAACAAATCTTGATATATCCTTACATTTTCTGTATTTGTAATTCTGGTACAAATTAATTTTAATATTCATGATAATGAAACAATGTGATTATTTTAATTATTTTTATTCTAATACATTAACTGATTTAAAATCTTCACTATCTATTGACTGCGGAAAATTCATACTAGCAAACATATTTCCAAATATACACACACAACCAAACGGCATGCAAAAAAATGTACAAAATAAAATTTTCTAGTTTTCAATGGTAATTATATAATAGAAAAAAAAGAAACACCAAAGCTATACACTTACTTTTTCTTCTGAAGGTACAGTTAATCTATCACTACAAATTAATTTTGATACTTGTTGATGAGAAAGGGTCAAAAACTCCTCACATTCCACTACTTCCCTGAAAAATTAATACATAATTTTTAATCATGGAATATAAAATTATTTTCAATATATAAAATTTGAATATTAATGCACAATGTTATTAACTAAAGAAAATGTGAACAGGGGAAACAAAACTCTCTACCTTAAATTAATTTAAATATAGGAGGGTAGTTAAGGTCGGTTTTCAGTCTATTTTAATTTTTGACTTAAATTTAAATATCATTTCTTTATTATCTGATATTCAATTGATTCCACCGCAAACGGAACCTCCTCTCAAGTCGCACAAAATAATAAGCATAATCCAGAAAACGTACTACTTAATCTTTTCTGTATTTAAAAAGTGTTTAGTCCCCCTCCAAAAGTAATTTTTTTCAAAAAAGTTCATCTGGATTACCCCCACTATTTCCTTTCTCCCACCACACCTAACTGCCCACCCTCTTATATCTTATAACTAGATTTTATAAACAAGTTATACATATAAAGGAACTACAAGCATTCTTTATTTTTATCACAAAAAAAATGATTTATACCCAATTTAAATGCAGAAAAATTTAAGCAATACCGTTTCTGGATTATGATTATCTAACACTTAAAAGGGGTAAAAAAGTTATGTGCGAGTGGGGGAAGGTAGAATCAATCGAATATTGATAGCAGATGATAAAGAAATGATTTTTTTTAAATTTAAGTCCAAAATTGAAGTATGTAGTTCGAAAACCGGCCTTAGCTACCTCTCCCTTTTACTGTGCAATATACTCTGCAGCATGCGATATAAAATTTTAATTCAATATAAATTTTTCAGTAACGTTCAGTGAGTGATTACTTATCAATTTTTTTATTTCATCCAGTGTCATGCTGAAAAACATTTTTGTTCCATCTTGTTATTTAATTGTTACCAGTAATTTAATTTAATTTTCCCTTTGATATTATTGATACTCTATTTCTACTTATTCCTTTTCTTATAAATCCCAATTGCAAAAGTAAAATTTAGATAATTTGTGTCCTGTTTTTATTGATCACAAAAATTCTTTGCTCCATAAAATGGCATATGACTCAATGATCAGTGAGCGGTGAGTTAGCGATCAGTGAGTGCTCAGTGCGCTGAGTGTGACCACCTGGTACATTACATGTATAATTTATATTACCGACAAATCTATTAAGTAAGACCCAATTAAGATATTGGATGAAAAGTAGTATGAAATATAATCTTATTTATTTATTAATTTTCTTTGATAACTGTCAAGTTTAACTTCCAATATGACTTTAAGATCATAACTTTAACTATGTACATTTCCTTGTGACAAGAATATTTTCCCTTGAAGACCTTATTCTTAAGGTATAGAGCAGCGGTCGGCAACTGGCAGACCGCGGTCCAGATCCGGACCGCGGAAGGTAAAAAATTGGACCGCCAAAAATTTTTTGAAAGTATAATTACTCAAATTATTTAAAACATATTTTTTTGTAGATAACAATACGTTTGAGTGACATCCTTATCATTTTTCAATGGTTCATCTTCATCTTCTAGTGGTTGGTCCTTTAAAAGTCCCATAGCACTGCGGCCTAATTAAGCCTATTGTGCGTCCTATTCAGCAAGTAGATTTGTCCTTTTTACAAAGTCCAAAAGCTTCCTTGCTAACACTTCCCTCAGTTCCTTGGGTTCCAAATAGGGTCTCCCAAGGAGCACCATTCTGTTGCGTGCAAATCCCGGGCACTTGCTCAGGATATGCAGAGAAGTTTCATCCGCTGATTCACATCCTCGGCAGACCGGACTGTCTACAAGCTTTAGCTTGTGTAGATGTTTCCTAAAGTGACAGTGTCCCGTTATGAGTCCTGTCACTCTCCTGAGCCGGATTCTATTCAAGCTCAGTAGCTCATTCGCTCTTCCCTTCGAAGGATACTCCATAAGCTCCTTAGAATGGCTATGTCCTGGCCTTGAAGTCCAGTATTTCCTATGTTCTGTCTCTGTCCATTTGCCCAGAGCCCGCCTGACCACACTGGGAGATGTGCCACAGAAGGGCTCCGGGCCAATGAACACTGTCTCGGATCCCTTCCTAGCAAGTTCATCCGCTTTCTCATTTCCACAAATGCCTTTGTGCCCTGGCACCCAACACAGTCTGACTGTATTGTTGGTGGCCAGTTCAGTCAGCATTTGTAAACAGTCCCACACCAGTTTTGAACTTACCTTGTGTGCGGCTAAAGCTTTAATTGCAGCTTGACTATCAGAGAATATATATATGAGTTTACGTCTATAACCTCTACGTACATTCTCTGCCAGACACGCCATTATCGCGAAGATTTCTGCTTGGAATACAGTAGGGAACTCCCCCAGACTGTAGCTTGCACTCCATCTGGGTCTGAGTCCATATATTCCTGCACCCGTCCCTCTGGTCATTTTGGAGCCATCTGTAAACCATACTAGGCTCCACCTTTCCAGGGTATTAAACCTTTCCTCCCACTTGCTTTGATCCTCTATTCGAGTCTCAAATGGCTTGTGGAAGTGAAACCTTGGGACCATCTTGTCGGATACCATCCCAAGAGTTGGTTCTGACATAGATGTGTCTATGATCCTGGAGTGGGAATTACCCCTCCAGTGATTGTTATTCCTGAGTCGATATGCTGCTAGCCGCGTTTCTCTTTCCACCACTATATGCAGCGGTGGCAGATTTAGCATGACTTCTAGTGCAGCTGTCGGGGTCGATGCCATCGCCCCCGTTATACCTAAACAGGCCAATCTCTGAATTCTATTCAGTTTTTCCCTCGCTGTGGTCTGTTGTGTTTTCTGCCACCATACCACAGCGCCGTAAAGAATCCTGGGTCTTACTATCGACGTATACAACCAGTGTGACATCTTTGGTTTCAGTTTCCAGGTTTTCCCAATAAGGCGACGACATACACACAATGTCTGCTTCGCCTTACTCACCACTTTTTCCAAGTGCGCATTCCAGGTAAGCTTATTATCCAGTATCACTCCTAGATATTTTACTTCCCTGGAAAGTGTAATGCCCCTCTCCCCTATTATAGGTTCAGAGAGTCCAGTTAAATTTCTTCTCCTGGTGAAGGGTACTACGACCGTTTTGTCAGGGTTTACTGACAGTGCCTGCCCCTTACACCAGTCATCTATCCATTTCAAAGCCTCTTTCATGAGTTCTGAAACGATAATATTATGTTTCCCGACTATGAGAACGACCAAGTCGTCCGCATAGCCTTGTGTATAGAATCCTTTTCGATTAAGGCCCTCCAGTGCGCCGTCCACCACTGGTTTTTCAATGGTAAGTAGATTAGTTAAGAAAACTGGCTTAAAACCGCAAATATAATTTCTTCTATTGATTTTTTAATACAAATATGCCTATCTATTGTATTTCATATTATTTTGGTAATGCAACTTACAATAAAAAATTAATAAGCAATACGAGTTTTTTTTCTGGACCTCGTTAAAAATTTTCAAAAGTATCCGGACTCCACCTAAAATTACTTGCCGACCCCTGGTATAGAGTATAGTCTCGAGTATATAGTGTCAAAGTTATAAAATTAAATTTGCATTTTAAAAATTATAAATTCTTTATTTAGTTGCCATTATTTTGCAGAAAATGTAACAAAAATACCTCATTAGCTACACTACTGGTTTGAGTTGAAACTTAATTTTTTCACCCTGAATTAATCGTTGTATTGTGCACACAAAATTTTTTTCAAATACATATCCATTTATTATAGAAAATAGTTAGATATATTTTTTTAATTTTAAGACCCTGTATCTCAAACATTTCTTAATTTCTGACAGGTTGTTGTATTATCCCATATACTATATATTTTTTCTATTTTTTAACGTCACACTGTTTTAAACAGCGGATATAAAATCTACTGTAATAACATTACTTTTGTTCTGAAAGCTAATATGTATTTATTATTATGTAAGCCTTAAGCCTTGACATTAACAACAAGGTTATTTTATAACAAAATAAGTTTTTTTTACCGAAATTCAACTAAAAAAAGTAATCAAACAGTAAGCAGGCATTTATTGGTATGCCTTTTCTTAAATTAATAATTTCTACAGACATACTATTTTCAGCATTAAATATTAAAGAATTTCTACATTTCATGGGATTTTAGTTAAAAATGTACAATTTTAAAGCAGATAATAGGTGTCTAAATCTGTATTGTTTGTGTAAATATAATTACTTATACTGAAATGCACATCTGATCAAAAATTTAAACAAAACCGATACAAAAATGTAAACATCAGAGATAATATTTTTATCACCTTCTATAACATCTTAACTAAATTTACTACAGAATATATTTTAAGTACAATTTTATAAAAATTAACTTTTTGTTTCAAATGTACTGAGCAAAATATTCTTTCCTAATCGTAAAATAAATGGCAAAATACTGTACCGAATATTCTAATATGGTTATTATCTATGTAAATTAGCCTTAACATAATAAATTTTCGTCTTTCTAGTTCATATTTATATGTGGAAATACTGGTTAACGTAAAAACATATTTTATTTCTGAATAAAATCATTTTTTAAACTTAAATTTTGGAGTATCATTTTTAATTTTTTGTTGATTCAGCTAAGTTTTAAATTAAGTTTAAATAAAGAAAAACTTACGGGAAATGCAGTTCTATGTAGGACTCCGCGTGTGAAAGTAGCTCCAAGCATCCATGTAAATCTGCAAAGGCACGGATTCCTAAACAGTTAGTAGGGTGCAATTGTGCCTGTAGAAAATCACAGCAAGCATCTCTGACATCAGTGAGTTGCAAAAGGTTAGCAGCTGGTAATAAAACTTGTACATTGTCCTCGGTAACGTGAACTTCAGATGTGTAAACATATTCAACAAGTAACAATAAAGCTTGATGATCTACTTCTTTTAGAACTATACGATCTTGCCGACTTTCTTCAAAACTTGAAAACATGGCATAAAAATAAGGCGAACATGCAGCTAATACCATTTTATGGGCTGGAATTTCCACTGTATCTGCTACTAGAGTAACATCACAAAGCAGCTTTTGCCTGAAAAATGATAAAATCGAGAACTTGTCCATTGAGATTAAAACTTAAACTTACTTTCGCATGACATTCATAATATCGAAAGCTTTTTGGGTGTGAAAATGATTTCTATATGGAGGGCGTTCCTTGCTGTGAGGGTGGTTTTGCGAAATGTGTTTTTGAGAACTTTCATCTAAAGAATTTTGACTGGCACATCGCAGAAGTAAACAACTAAAACATAAATATTTACTATTTTAGTAGCATCACAATAATGAAAAGCACCTATAAACTGTGAAGGTAGAACAAAGCTTCATATTTTTGAATTAGTAATAAACAAAAAATAAATCTTTTCCAATTCTTCTTACCTTCCTTGTCTTTCCATTACACCTTCTTGAACCTGGTCCATTTTTGTGGGATTTATTTAATTTTACTCAATTTAGGAAACTTCCTTTAAAAACATTTGTGAATTGTTTTAATATTTAAAGAAAAATAAATAAATTTCATAAATGCGTTACACCGAAAAAATCATGACCACAACAAAAAACAAACATTACAAATCACAATCACTTCTCACTTCCAAGATTGAAGAATGACCTAAGAAAACGACCAGCTGGTGGTTGCGTGCGCATTGCGCATTAGAATTCAAGAACATCACAATGCAAATGAAAATAATGAAATTTTGCAATTGCGCAGCTGGCTCATGCACGGACCTTCGATAATTTAAAAATTAGGTTAAAAATTAGATAGATATAAAAACTTAAATTAATGTAGCATTTACGTCAATTTATCGCAGTTCAAGAAAAGAGAACAGTAACGATATTTACCGCCAAAATTTTATGATAGTTGTATGATTATACAAATTATAAAATTAAATGATTAAAATGCATGAAAAAATATTTTATTTAAAATTTTACGAATTTTTTCATTATTTATCTTGCCGTCCAACGAATTCTAACCACAATGGTTACAATTCGTTGGTTGTTGTCGTCTGTGCGTGTTATTAATCACGTTATACTCGGCGGCCGAAATTATAAAGAGTGACTAATACATAATATAAAAACACTATTATCATAATGCGTATAAAATATAAAATGATTTCTATACGGTTCAATATTATTTATCTTTGTGCCGCTCGCCATGCACATCGGTAGAATCTATAATCGTGTATAGACCGAGTTAAACTCATAAAATCCTACCTACACCACCGAAAATTCCGCATCCAAATCCAAGATTCCCTTTCCACCACCCGTCCCATGGAGTAGGCATGGGTAACACTGTAAATTTTCGTGTATTGACACAACAATACCCAGGGCCCGAGAACTTATACTTGAAAATATGGGGACA